CAACCCATTCAGGACGTTGCGGTTTCCACCGTTTATTTCATGTTTCTCTGAATGTCTGTGGATTGTGAAAAACAAAAGCTTTCGAAAACAACATGTGAAGTACGTAGCAATGCATTATTTACGAGCAATTGTTTTTTTTTTATGTAACGAGGACGAAGCGCGAGCTCAAACAGAGCGTGGCAATACCGAAAAATATTCATAATTTGAGGAAAAAGAAAGAGAGAGAGGGAAATGGAAAAACGCACCGAAATAAAAAAAAAACATAATGTTATAACGATAATAAATGAATCGAGTTGCACAAGAGGTCGACGACCCAAATGTGGACATTAATCATTTGGTTACACGAAATGAGGCAAAAAGAAGCAGAAATTCGCGCAGTTGAAGCGTTCTTCACAAAATCAAGAATTACGTGATAAAAAAACACATTTAAAAAAAAAGCAATGTTTGGGATTTAATTGCTTAATCGAAGATCAGTAAATCGAAAGTTTTAATACAACAAAATTTAACGTGAAAAGCAAAACCGAAAGTAACTTTTTGAGAAAACGATGATCGCATAAAGTTAAGATGACTTAAGCGAAACTGAATACAAAGGAGGCGCAGCACTGCTGAAACGATGACTGTTCAAAGTGACTTAAGTGAATGCAATGCGAAGTCTCAATTATAAATGTAAATTGTTAACGAAAAGAAGCGTTAAAACAAATACTCTCAACCACACAAAACAACAACAACAACAACAATAAAACTAAGAATAATGGAAAAGTTGAGTTTCTTCGAATCGGTTACTAGTTGTAAACAGATGAACAATAGTTTGACTTAAGTCAGACTTAGATTAAGGCGAAATAATAAAGAACTTCAATTAACTTAATTTAAGTTAGACTAGAATTAGATCAAAAAATGAAACAAGAACAACAAAAAAACTGACAGAATCAATCATGAAGTACAGTAACTAGTGTAAACTAAACAAAACTTGAATGAATTTGCAGTTGCTAAGCAACATTGAAATAACTAAAATATGAATGAATCTGCAGTTGCTAAGCAACTCGCATCCGTATCGATACGTTTTACGTTCCCTTACGTAGGAGAAAATCTCAATTGAGCCGTTGTAAATCACGAAAAACTCGTGCACAACACGTAAGAATAATTCCGTTCGCAAATTCGCGTTATCTCAAATGTATGCGTTTGCGTCAAGTAGTGAATATTTCGTATTTCGTCACAATTAACATTCAGATTAAGCATGATTTTTCAATTTTATGACATTTGCTGCCAACGTACAAAAGTAACTAAAAACTTCCGTTTTGAATTGGTGTAATCGTCCAGCAAGAAAACAAAAGCGAGAAAGAAAAAAGAGAACATCGGATCGGATTATGTTGACCTTTGGTATTGAATTATGTTTACCAAACACAACACCACCGAAAGGTACGGCGAAACGCGCGAGAAATTGAGATGCACAAGCAACAAACACACATCATTTTGTTTTGTAATCGATTCAGTCGATGTTTATTTCCCAAAAAAAAAAAATATAATAATGCACACTTTCATCGAGCAGAAAACTAATGCAATAAGTCAAGTAATATTTCTACTAGATTAATGAATGCGAACGGTTATTGAACCGTCTGAGAGAGCCGCCGTTAATACCGTTCTTCGCACGTCGCATTTCAAACTTTTACCATTAAAACAAAATGTATGTATGTATAGAAGAGACGTGTAAATCGTGGAAGCCATGGAATTTCAAGATTTTGACAGATGCATATGAGAGTTAAGCGAAATGGGTGATATTGACTTATTTGAGAAGAGAACAAGAAATGTAGAAGAAGAAAAAAAAAGAGAAAGAATTCTTGCATTCGATGGAAAAGAGAAAACGTAAAATCGATTGTAAATTGGCCCCAAAAACAGTTGAATCTATCTAATAAACTAAAATCTGATTGCTGAAACAAATAAAGTAAGTCTTACAATTATATTGATCGAAATTAGATTCGAACGTTATGCAATTATTTACGAAACATCGAGAATGCGTGTTTTATGCAAACAAACAAAAAAAAAATCTGGTGATTCGATTCGAAAACAATTATTATTGTATATAGAAATGTCAGGATAGCTTTGGAAAAAGAAAAAGAGAGAGGAAAACATTTGAATCACTCTGAAAACAATGGCAAATGTCAACAGATTTGTCCAATCATTTATCAACTATCAACAAATATTGCGAAAGAGAGAAAAAAGGTGACTCAATTTGAAAAGAAAACAAAAACAAAACAAGTAACATTCTGTAGAAACATACCCGGTTTCCGTAAACTTTCGGTTACCAAGAGCAACGAATTCAATCGGTTTGTAAACGACCGGACAATAGAATTCCATTGAAAATATGCTTCAGGTAGGTTAGGTTTTCTTTTCCTCCATTCAAACAAACAAAAAAAAATCTTTATTTTTTCCAACAAGAATGGAAGGTGCGAACAAAAGAGTTGACCTGGGTCAACAACAACGACGACGAGAGAGGAAACGCCCTTACCCAAATTAAACTTGCGAAAATCCCGTTTTTTTTTTCTATTTAAATTTAAAGAATTACATCAATTAGAGAGCAACGAGAGCAAAAGACACTTTGGGGGGGAAAAAAGAGAGAAAGGTGCGAAGATTCGAGGTGAAACTGGAAATAAAGAGCGTCATCGGTTTTCCTCCGCAAGAATGTTAACGGTTTTCGGATGAACCTTCTTTTTTTTCCGTGTCGCAACATCATCGGATTCCTCGAGGAATAATCTCATTCTCGTTCATCAAAAATCTCTTAAAACAGGAAAGTTAAACAACGAACAAACAGTCACGTCTTGAAGATTGAAACAATTGAATAAAACAAACGCTCCAAATAAGAGCTCCGTTTTATGGATATCGACAGTTATGGAAGTGAAACCTTACCGGTTTATAATCGAGGTTTCGAGCCGAATTCATAACAGCGCATGATTATATATGTATCAAGTAAACATAGAGAAGTGATCGTCGCCTGCGATAATTATGAAAATATTTGCGTAAAATCTGGAAATAACAACTCGACAGTTAACTATTGCATAACGTGAGCATCATCATGAAAAACACGTGGTAGTTAGTGTATAGTGCGTACGTGTGGATCAAAAGAATACGTTACGAATTGTATAAAGAACGTATCGATTGAGGAGAGGAAACCGGAGGCTTTGAAGAGAAAGAGAGAGGTTTTCGGTACAACCCTCACAGCGTATTTACGTTTGTCTGAGGGTGTTAAATGTTGTGCAAGAAAATGGATCCAGATGCCGGAGGAGGAAAAGGACGACGAGAGAGGAATATCATCGATCCCGTGACGTCAGGTCAGGTGTAGTGTAGTGGGCATGGGGCATGGACGGGAAAGGGGGGAAGGAACGGTTTGGTTGGTAGTTGGAACGCATGCGGCCAAACGGGAATCGCCCAGCCGACTTTGATGAGGGTGCGCGCAGATCACGTTGATGTATGTACGTTAGGCAAGGGGGGATGAGGGGTTGAAGGGTGGAAAGAGAGGGTGTGAGGTGGATTTTGTTAGGTTAGGTTTTGCTGAAAATGCCGGCACGATCGCAATGCGGACACCAATTTGAAAAAAAAAAACAAAAAACAAACGAAAATCTTCTTGACCGAAACAATTGCAATGCGGAATGCATTACAGACAAACTTTCATTAAATCAATTGATAAAATAGTTACTAAATATACATCAATAGTAGTAATAATAATAATGAAATGAGTAGCGTTACAGATGCACCACGTTAATAATGATTTAGTCCTTGAACTAAGAAGAAGTTCAACACTAAGTCGCAACGCGCACAACCTTGAACGAGTCTACAACAAACTATTTAGAAATATCTCTGCGTACGGTTAATAAATAGCAATAATCCGAATCAATTAGATACGCGGTAATAATAGATGGCGACACACGTGATTACAAACATATATAACTGTACACACACACACAACAAAAAAAATTGCATTTGAATTTTAGTACGTTAAAGACTTTTGACCTTAAACCGATCCAACTAATTAAAATTTAATCATCATTAATTAAATTGCATCCGAGCGATTTTGCGTTATCGTTTATTCGCTAATTGTACCGAAATAATCAAGAGAGAGAGAGAGAGAGAGAGAGAAAAAAGGATCGAAGATAAATTAACTGCTGATTAGAGCGAAAACGATAAGCGAAACTATTGGGAGATACATTGTAATCTTGGCTTTACGCAAAAAAAAATGCAATTAACGAAAAGAAAGAAAAAACATGTTGTAACTTGTATCAACTAATTAGAAAGAATGTATAGTGTAAGTAATATTGATAACGTATTTAGTGTAGATAGTTTAGTCATAGATCATGTATGTAAATGAACAAATCTATTTTATCAAGTAGACTTCGCTCTAGGGAACAGTTGAAATTTTTAAAAAGCACACACAAGTTGGTGGAATCTGTGTAGGAAGTAGTAGCATAATGATAATGGAGATAAAAACGGGACTAATCTAAATATAGAAATTTAACGTTGTAAATTTTATGAAATTACAGCAATTACACGTGTACTTATGGAAAATACTAGTATTGTGATTGAATGCAGAATGTAATTGAAAATCTATAATTAATAGTATGAATCTTCTAGAACTTGAGAAATACTATACATACATTAAAATAGCAATGTAATCTCTAATATAATTACGAGTTATGAAGCTTGAAAATAGCAGATTTCTAAGATTACAGAATATTAGTTATATGTATTGATTTCATTTAACTTTCTTTGTACAACTGCAACTAGTTTTAACTTGGAAATAGCATTACAGACACGTTTCATGTGTTAAGATCAAGTACAAAAGTATGTAATTAACAATTGAAGATTATAGACTTATGATTCACACTGACACATTACTTCAAATGTAATAGTAAGTGTGTAGATGTCGCAGAAGTGAGCAGCATTACAGATACTTAAGTGCAACAACAACAACAAAAACAACTTTTATATAGATAGTATGGATAGTAACTGACCTCTTCTCGTCTCTTCAACCACCTTCCGCACGGGCTCTCCTCGAGGATCTCGCTCTCATCCTCAGAGTCTTCGCCGCTCTCCCTGGGCGACTTGTGCTCGGGTTCGATGCTCATCAAGCTGCCCGACATCGCGGCACCACCGGAGACGAACCTCCTCCACCAAAACTATCCACTTCCTCGCAGCAGCTTCTTCTACTGCTTTTTCCTTCTTCTCCTACTGCTGCTGCTTCTCTTTTACCTCTTCTGCAGCCGCAATTCGTGTTACTGTTGAATCGACCCTCGGCGGTTTCCATTTACCGGAAAGTAACAGCCAGAAAGGGGAACACACCGCACGTTGCTACTGCAGACGATGATAATAATGATGATGAAGACAAACAAAAAAAAAAAAACAAATTACAATAATATTCCTATTAGAGAAATCTGCGAATACGACTGGCGGCGTGTTCGGCGCACTCGGGGAGAAGCGATTAAGAAGCGCCGCGATTGCCGATAAATAAAAAAAATAATAAAAATTTGTGGAAAGAAGAGGAACGAACGAACACACGATTTTTCGAACACTGCGCGTTCAATTTTAATCCTTCGGCTGCGGCGTCGACCTCCTCCTCATGGCACACTTATCTCCACCGACTGTCAAGACAATTGCCGCTATAGCAACAACAACAACAACACTCTCGTTGCTGTGGTGACGGTTGTCTCTTCTTCATGTACTCGCGGCGGTACAGGTGATTGCCAGCATGTCGTCAAGACCACAATCGTCCCCTGGAGGAGACGTTCTCTGCGTCCTTTCGCCTCTCCGCGTTGCACCGTCGTTTGCTGCACAAACACACACAAGTCGCACACTCAATGATGATAGTATATACGTACACACGATATATCCTCCTTTTGTTTCTTGTTGTTATGTATATGTGTATGTAGTGAGCGAGTGATTGAGTGAGTTGAGCAGACGGTAACCGAAACCTTCGTCGTACCGAATCCAACTGGCACACGTTCGTTGCGTTGCTCTGCTGGCTGCTATTGCTGCCTGCTGCTGCTGCTGCTGTTACAAACTGTGTCTCCCACCGTCCGCCTCACTTATTTTATTAAAAACTCGGCACAGCTCGCATCTATCGCTCGCATTACTACTACGACGGGCACGTCGACGACTGCGACGACGACTACGGTGAAGGGGGCGAGGGACGCGATGAAGAAGGGGGCAGCGGCTCCCTCCCGACCGTCGTATCTATGCATATGCACGCAGAGAGGTATCTATGGACGCGCACGAAGTGGGGGGGGACGAAGGGCAACGGTCTCCTCTATCGCTCTGTCTCCCTTCGCAACGCACTCGAGATCTATACGTCCGTCTCACTTTCTTTCTACTACCACCACCGATGCATGGTAATGCGATAACATGCGAAACTGCACAGAAGGCGGCTGCGGAGGGCTGGGCCACTGGACGAGGGGGGTTCGGGGGGGACGTACGTACGTTCGTCACGCCGCGCACACCGGAACACTCGACGGACGCACCGCGAACCAACGCAACATTTTTCCACTCACCCGTTCAAAAACGAAACGAAATTATTGTTTAGATCACTCTTATTGTCTATGAATATCTTGTGCAAACTCTGAAGGCAAGAGCTTCCCGAACACCGGAAGTAGCAGACTTTGACAATCGGCAATTCGAACTTTTTGGCAGAGACCTGCCTGACCGACGTCCACCCTTTTTTTTTTTTTTTTTTTTTT